CTTCTACCGTAACTACCGTTGGAACAGCACGGTTTTGGGGCCTACTCCTAATTGAGCTCGATGACAACGAGTGATAGACTAGCCGGATTGGGTAGAGCTTAGTAGTTATGCTACATTAAAAACAACAACAGAAAACAAAAAAATTGTTAAGTCAAATCTAAAAACTCATCTTATCCTCAAAGAAAGGCGAAAGCTCATCCTTGGTAAATGCTGCTGTAGTGAAAGTCCCAGGCCAGATACATGTACATCTGGGTTGTTTCGGTTACGTAGGCCCTAATGAAATGGGAAAACCAAGCTCGCCCTCGTCCGTGGTAGTGCACGGACCATTTTAATTCCAAAAGGGATCCAAGTGAAAAAAATTTAAAATTTTATGAATTATCACAAAAAAGCATTTTCAGAAAAAGGAACGTACATTGTTTTTTCTTCGAGAGTATATTGACAACTGAATGGAAGATCGACCTATCTCGGCAGCTAGTTCGAAAACGCGCTATCTCAGAAAACTTTTCACGAAAGCCCTTCTTAAGAATTTCATTGAAGATTGCCCTATTTCAGCAGTTTATTGAAAAACGCCCTACCTCAGAATTTGGTTGAAGAATGACCTATCTCAGAATTCGGTTCAAAAACGCCCTATCTCAGCTGAAAATGTGTATATTGAAAATGTGCTGAGATAAAGCGTTTTTGAATCGGCAGCTAAGATAGGGTGTTTTCACCACTGTAACAGAAATTTTTTAGAAGTAGAGTTGTAATTGGGCAGAGCTGGGTCGTAATGATTCCTTTAGGAATTAAATTACTCCCAATTAGAGATTACAAGGAATTGTAATTAGGAATCAATTCCTTCAGTCCACAGCAAAGGAATCGATTACTTTTTCAATTCCTTGAAGTAATTTCAAATGTAATTGGGTTTTTCTTTAATTCCATTACAAGGAATTTCATATTGTAATTGGAATAAATTACGTGCTAGTAATGTAATTTTTTTTTCCAATTCCTTTGAAAGGAATTGAAAATGTAATTGATTTTTTTTCAATTCCATTACCTGGAATTGCAAGAGTACTTTAGTTTTTCCAATTACTCAAAGGAATTGTAAAAGTAATCGAGAAACTGAAAGTTCATTCACGAATATACAATGTGGAATTTTTGTTGTGGTCAAAGATTAAAATCGAAAGCACACATTGGACATCTTCTATGTATATCTATTTATATATAAAAATGTTGTGTTCGTATGTCACGGTCATCAAAACCCGAGAACGGCTGAACCGATTTGAATAATATTTTTTTTATTATTCGGTATAATACCAGAACCAATGATATCGCAAAAATTTGGTGGGTTGCCACCTATTTTAAAATTTAATTAATTTAAAATCAATGAATTATTACAATATGGGTATTAAGTTAAAGAGGTTTAAGAAAGATAACTGCTGGAAGTATTTTTGACGAGGGTGGCCTCCTATTTGAAAATTTAAACTCAGTCAAATTGTTAAAAAAAAATTAAATATTGCCATGTGGGTGTCAAACTAAAGAGTTTTAAGAAGGCTTACTGCCGAAAATATGTTTGAGGAGGGTTGCCATCTGTTTGAAAATTTAACTAAATTACATTGATAAAATAAATAAAATATTACAATATGGGTATCAAATTAAAAAGGTTTGAGAAAGATAACTGTTGGAAATATTTTTGAGGGGCTGTCACCTATTTGGAAATTGTAACTCAGTTAAATTGATAAAGTAAATGCAATGTTGGCATGTGGGTGTCAAACTAAAGAGTTTTAAAAAGGCTTACAGTCTACCATGAACACTTACAGAAATATGCAATATAAAAAGTTCGGTTTATATGGGAGGTGCCACACGCCATTCTCCAACCATGCAAATTTTTCTCCATGAGTATGGAATTGGTCTTATATATGTATATAGATATCACCATACCCAGTTCTAGTCCTCTACCACAAATATATGCAGTTTGAAAAATTCGGTTTATATGGGAGGTGCCACGCCCCCTTTCTATATCGAAACTTTTTTTAGCTATAACCATCCTTGGAAAGTCTGCAGTAGATTCCGAAATTTCAAAAAAATCGGTACGGCCTTTCTCGAGCTTTGCGAACAGAAAAAAACGCCTTTCAAAATATATATTAGTATAGACTAGCCAAACTCTGCTTGTTTTGAGGGGTAAAACACTACTACCGATGAAAATCGATGGATAAATAAACAAGTTTGCAAGGGTTAAGTGAAAGTGCAATAATTTTTTGTATGAAATACTAGCAGGAAATTTAACAAAGCTATTGCAATTCAACAGTAAAAAATTTTTTTTTATAAATTTTTCGATTACTTTTTAAATTACTTTGAGGAATGGAATTGGAAAAAAAATCAATTACAATTTCAATTCCTTTCAAAGGAATTGGAAAAAAAAATTACATTTTCAATTCCTTTCAAAGGAATTGAAATAAAAGAAATTACATTACTAGCACGTAATTTATTCCAATTACAATATGAAATTCCTTGTAATGGAATTAAAGAAAAAAACAATTCCATTTGAAATTACTTCAAGGAATTGAAAAAGTAATCGATTCCTTTGCAGTGAACTAAAGGAATTGAATCCTAATTACAATTACTGAGG